TTCGGTCCAAAGACCAATCGGCGGCGGCTTGTCAGTCAGGATTTTCGCAGGGCTGTGAATAGAGCCTACTATTTCCCTGACTGCATTGCTGGGACGCCAAACCGGAAGTAACTTTTGTAATATTCAGGATACTGGACCTGTTATCTACCTAAAGTGTCTGGTCTGTTAATTTTCAAAACAAGAATGTTTATGATGCTTATTTTGCATCTGGTGCTCCAGATACTGTACATTGTTCTGCTGTTGCCTACCTCCCTAGATGGTCATGGAAAGGTCCACAACAATGCTTTGGTAGAGTCTAAAGATAATTCAGTATATTTACTTGTACAATTGAAATAAGTATTGTATATTTAACATGCTGAGATCACAGCTTTCAAAGGATGCATGTTCCTTTGCTAGGAGCATGAAACCATTAACAACTAGTTTTCACAGAAAAACTAGTCTTGGATATCAACAGAAAATGTAACTGATCACTGTATATCCCAGTCATTTTTCTAATGTGATTGGAGTAATCGCTTCTCATATTGAAGAATTCCATGGTGCAGCTGAAAAGCATGTAAACACAAGCTGCTTATTTGCAAGAAGCTTCCAGATTTGCAATATGATTGCTATGGAAACCACATAATGAAAATCTTATAACCATCTGTGTGCTTTGATGAATTTTACTGCATAGTTCAGCTGTTTTTGTTTACTGTTGTTGAAATATTGAGTAGAATATATTAATTCACAAGTTCGCTACCTGAAGTATTAATATTGTTCAGTGACACAGCGTCTCCTAACTAATGTAGCCCAACAGAGTGCTTCTTGTTATTAATGTGCTATTAATTAGGGCTATTGTAGATATATTTGTGATAGGGATTAGAACTTTGAATGAGAGGGAGATAGAAGGACTTAGTTAAAGATTGGTTCATACAGCAAAAGATTACTTGTATTGTGGCAGAACTACCACAGAAACCAAACTTAGACAAATTTTTATATCCATTTAATTTGATGTTTTCTGTTTTATCTATTGAACGTGATGTGTTCACCTCTTTGTATTTTCTTGAGTGTCCAAAGAAATTCCTAAAGCATATTTAATCATATGTAATTATACAAGCAGTAAAGAAAAGAAATACGATATGGGAAAGCTTAATCTTATAATTTATTTAAGATGTCAAAAAAAGCTGCTGCAATTATTTTCTAAACTTGGATGAGAAGATTATCTTCTTTATTTATGCAAGAGGCAGACGTGCACAAACATTCTTACGTATTCTAAAACTATTATAAAAATTAAAAATTGTATATGCAGTAAATGTTTAATTGGCAGGATATAACAACTTTGAAATAACATATGGCTATGAGAATCTGGAATAATGTCCACTAATGGTTGATGGGTTGCCTAGACTAAATTATGTGGAAGAGTGTTTTTGAAAGAGCAGATTTCTTAATTAAGTGCAACTAAACTTAAATATTGCATTGTTTATCATTTGCCAAGACTGTACAGTAATAAATTGGTAAGAACAGCTGGCACCATTGCTTGAATGCCGCAAATAAATAGTTTGTCAACATTTTTAACAGCAAAAATGGTCTTTTGCAGAATGCTGCATATTAAGTAATGTTTATCAAGTGTAAATTATTTAAGGCTGTGATGCCCACTGGAACAGTGGATTCCCCATTGGACATCAATGGATCTAAATATTCACGGGATGTGATTAAGGAATGAGAAGTTGGTCTCTGACTGTAAGATAGATAGATTTTTCTAGTCTTGTGAGCTTGATTAACATGTAGCATGAGGAAGCTGTTGTACTATTCTGCATTTTCATAGCATTTTCCTTTGTGTGAAGTGAGTTTATTTTATCTATACAAAAGCTTCATCTGGTGGACTATAAGGTCCACTGTGGCCCACCCAGGGAGTTTCATTGCTAGAGTTTGCAAGCTGGATTTCCCCATTAGATTCAACATGCTGATCCCAGATGCAGAATGAAGGAACCACTAACTGTTAAATGAATTGTAAAGTGAGCACACCCAGCCACATATTGTACTTTGGATATTATTATCGCAAACTACTTATTGATGAAAGCTTTCTTTTAAATGGACGTCAAACCATCTGCTCTGCCTTAGAGCCCAGCTAGTTGCTAACAGAGGCAATCAGATCAAATTAGATTAGATGAAACGATTCAGTCTGAATTGTAATACTCAGTCATGTTACTAGCTTCTAACTGAATTGTTGTGGTCCAAAAATTGTGACATGATTAGTCCTGGAATAATATTCTTGAAAATGAACCTTAATTGTCAGTGGGCTGTTAGTTATAGGAATTGAAGCTAGGTGCAATATTGTAGTGACAATCAATATTTGCAGTATGGTGTGCTCTTTATTAATTATAAGTTAAAAACTTGTTCATAATGATCAGTAAAAATCATACAGTTACATAAATTGATGGGTCTCTGGTACCAGATGAAATGCTTCTGAAGTACGCCAATCTGTCAGGCTTTCTAAATAGTTCAGATAAGAAACCAATACCATGACTACTGATGCCTTTATCTGACTGATGCCTTGGCTGCAGCTCTTCCTCCTCCTATCTCTCAACAATATTCTCACAGACCATTCTACCACCCCATATTTATAACAATTTGATAATTGCATACTTTGTGACTCCTGTAATCTACAAAATAGCATTTTGTGGTTAGAGTCAGATGGTTCACAGATTTTCGCAGCACTGAGGTTGGAATTTTTCCAAGTGTTTCAGTATACCATGCATAGGCTGTTCTAAAAGTGGAATCAGGTGTAATCACAATTCAGAGTAAGGAAATTGTGTGATCATGCCACATTAGGAGTAGAACAGTATTGGGTCTAGATGGATAAAGGAGAAATCATTTGATGTGAATAGCTGTGATCTAAAGCTTTTAGTGTTTCATTCTTGATGTAGAAGATTAATTTTTGTTGATTTAATTGTACAATTTGCAGCATGATAAAGCTTTCTATACATAGTTATAACTTTAAAAGGGGGGGGAAAGGCTGCAGGTATGTCAGTTTGATGTAGGGTTGGTTCTGTCAAGAGGTAAATTGAAACGACCTGATTCATGCGTGGTACTTGCAGGACCACCTCCTACCGGCCTCCCACCACCCAGTGCGCTCACAGAGGACTGCCCTCCTCCGGGTCCCTTCAGCCAGACAGTGTCAGCTGGTGGCCCCCAGGATGAGGGTGTTCTCTGTGGCCGCACTGACCCTCTGGAATGGTTTACCCACTGGGCTCCGGATGCCCCCCGACCTCCACACCTTCTGCGCTGACCTAAAGACATGGCTTTTTCAGCAAATTCCCTGATCTGCCATGTATTTTAATCTGGGGATTTTGGGTTTTAAATTGGATTGTACCATTTTAATTCTATTTATTGTTGGATTGCTTATTTTGTGAGCCGCCCCGAGTCCTTCGGGAGAAGGGTGGCATATAAATGTGACAATAAATAAACAAACAAACAAACAAACAAATAAATAAATAAATAAATAAATAAATAAATAAATGCAGTAAGTTAATGAATAATTGTTTGGTGGATTCAGAAATTACTGTGGTGGGGATGGCCATGAAACTGGGCCAAACTTTGAACTCTTCTTTAGGCAGCAAAATATCTTGGGCAGCATTGTCTTAAAGTGCTAGAGGTTATAACCATGTGAGTACATAAACTGAAATAAAATTTTGGCTTTCGGAGAATGCAATAGGAAAAATAACCTTAGAGGATATATATAGATTATAAGCAAATTCAAACTGAAAATAACTACTGGAAATTTCCAATATATTGAACTCAACTCCACAATGAAAATCTAACACCATCAGTAGGAGACCAGGTTTGGGAAGGCTGATTTGCTGGCAGTTAGAATCTACTTTCTCTCTTTAGAGAAAACAATAGTTGTAAATATGCTATGGACATTTTTTATTCAAAATGTTGATGTTTGTAATTAAGGGAGAATGGCGAGTGTTTAACACAGTTTAAGCCTCTAACACCATGATGGCGAACCTATGGCATGCGTGCCACAGGTGGCACACGTAGCCATATCAGTGGGCATGCCAGCTCAGCTCTGGCACGCATGTGTGCGCCGGCCAGCTGATTTTCGGGCCTTCTGGGCCCACCAGGAATAGCGAAACAGGCTGTTTCCTGCCTCCGGAGGGGCTGTGGGTAGGGGGTGGGGAAGGCCCGTTTTTCTTTCTTATCTGGCTCCAGATCCTCTCTGTGCATCTGCAGAGAGCGAAAACAGTCTTTTCCACTCCCTCGAAGGCCTTCCAAAGTCCTGAAACGTCCTATTTCCCAACTCCTGGTGGGACAGGAAGTTATGTTTTTTTGCTGTCTCAAGCCTCCAGAGACTCCTAGAGAGGCTCTGGAGGCTGGGGACAGTAAAAAAGTCACTTCCTGTCCCATCAGGAGTTGGGAAATGGACCCTTTCAGGCCTCTGAGGAAATGGGAAAGGCTCTTTTCATCCTTCCCAGATGCATAGAGAGGATCTGGAGCCAGGTGAGAAAGAAAAACGGGCCTACCGGGTCATCACGTGCCAGGAGCGAGGGGAGGAGGGGGATTTGCACACACATGTGCAAGGCAGGGCGCATAGAATTATGGGTGTGGGCACCCGCACGCGCGAACCTCCCTTGCCCCCCTCTCCTGGCACACGATGGCAAAAAGGTTAGCCATCACTGCTCTAACATATCCTGAAGTCTCTGAGAGATACAGTGTCTTCTTCCTCTTGTGCCATATCCGTCATCAAATATTGGCGATCATGTTGGCAATCCTATTTTTGTCAACAGCCGTATGAAAAAGTGCTGCTGAGTTTTGTCCAAACCAGTCCCTTAGGTTTTGAAGCTATGATGTTCTTCTGTCTGGACCTCGTTTGCCTTCAATTGTTTGCCTTCAGTCTTTCCCTGGAGGATTAAGTGAAGGATAAAGTGTGCACAAATGAATTATCATGTTGATCTTTTCTAAATGATCTAGGACTAAAGTTCTTTAAGCTAATTTTTTTGCTGAACTTTTTGTATCCACAGAAGAAGCAGCAACAGTAGCTGAAATGCCAGGAAAGAGTGAAGAACCAAAGAAACAAAGTCAGGAAGCTGTAAGCAGTATTTCAGGTGTGTTGGTTGTGGTGTCTATATTTGCTTTTGAAGACTTGTCTTCCCTCTTAGCATAAATAAAGATATTTGAAATTCCAGAAGCTTAACCATTCTCCTATAGCACTAAAGCTGAGTGGGATTTGGTGGAGGGCAGAATCTAAATAGCCCCATTTAGGATGCATGAAAATTGCTTGAGAAGGATTTATAAAGTAAGCCAATTTATACAAGGTATTCCTTTCTGAATTACTTTGTAATGACTCAATTAGCTTTCATTTCTTCACAAAGGAGATTTAGCTGCATAAATTAGCTTATCATCATTGAGGATGTGTCACTGCTAAAAGACAGTTTATAGATACAACATGCAGTTGCTGTCAAACGTATAAGAATGTAATATAGACATCTGTGTATACTTTGTGCTTGAGCAGAACAGACTTCTGTCATTCAGAGACTAACAGGGGACAACAAGTTGCCCAGGGGACCAACAATGTAGACATCTCTGAAAAGGTCATCTTGACACAGGCTCTGACAATCGACCCACAGCTCTGTCTTCTTTGATAAAAATCAGATAAACTTAAGACCACTAATTGATCTGCAGCCTCTTAAATGTTGGCCATGCATATCTTCATTGCATATGATTATACTGCAGAAAGCAAATGAACCAGCCTAAGAAATGCCAGGGTCCAATGACTGCAGAAGGAAAGGTGATGGTGGTAGGAAAATTAGAAGGGAACAGCACTACCCAGGAATTGTAGTGGGGGGGGGTCACTGCTCTCTTTTGTTTGTGTTGGCAAGTTGCCCTGGTGTTAATCCACACTAAAGAAGGGAGTTGGGAAGTGATCAGGTACCATAGAATAGGACAGCTTTTCTTAAGAGCATACTTTACTGGCATTGCTATTTAGATACTCGGCTGATTTCTGGATTTGGAAACCCAACACTTATTCCTTATCGAAACACATCCAAATCCTAGACATCAGCTGAATGCCTGGTGTGCTTTGTCACTGTGTCCTGAAAGAATGAACCTGAGGTTATCTTTTTCGTCATACTTGCTCCACATCATTCTTCCACTGCTGTCAGAGAAAGGGTGGATGAGGATATGTTCAGGAAATTTCTTCACTGTGCCCTTCCTGTTGTAGCATGTAGAAAGGAAACAGGCCTGACTTCCGGCCTCTGACAGGAAACTATATGAACATGTAGTTGTGGACAGTTTAGGCTAATGTTTGCTGCAAAGGAAACAAAGTTTTAAGTCATCAGATGTTGCTCTTAGAATGGACCACTACAATAGATTAAGTAATATTTCTTATCATAGAAAAGTTACTCCCACCAGCAAATGGGATCCTCAAAGCTTTTTGGTAACTTGGCATGCATTTACATGAACACAATGTCAACTGGGTCCACTTCAAGGCCTTTAGAACACGAAGCCTAAAGTCTTTTCAGAAATGAAGTACAACACCATACAAAAAAGAGTATTTAAGCATCACCTAGAATTTTTGATGCTCCTGACAGTATTGTTACTTCTTCTTCTGGAACACCATGGTTATCACTTTGCCTCCCTCAAAAAGTACCAAAAGATCATTCTGTTGAGATCAGAGGTGATATTCAGCCGGTTCTGACCGATTCTGGAGAACCGGTAGCGGAAATTTTGAGTAGAACCAGTAAACATCTTATTTTTCTCTATCGTCTTCATAAATTTTTATTACTTTGCTTTTAACAGCAGATGGGGAATGAGGACCATGTAGAATGGACTTTGGAATACTTGCAATATGGATTTTGTACTGTTGCACTGCCTAAATAAAATAGGTTTGCTAGTATTTTAATTTGCCTTTTAACTCTTTTTCTTTCTCATTTAAATGTTTTGTTAATAATTAGCTATTAGCAAGAAGAATGTAGAAAGCCTTTCTTTTAGAAACCACAATGTTGCCCAAGTGCTTGATGTTTTGTAGGTAAAATAGTTTCATTTTCAGTTAACAAACAGAGCAAGTGTTAGATCCCATTGTATCTTACCAATATCCATTTTAATGTTTCTCTCTTGAAAAGATGTTTTACTTTTATTCAGAATACAATGCTTTTTTTCAATCCTTATGCTTACATATTATTTATATGTCTAATTTATCATGATATAACTAGACAGATAATTTCTCACAAACCAATCGACTTTTATGTTGACATTTCTTTGTTGTGCAAGATATAAAAATAAATATAAGCCTTTGTTCCAGTTTCCTCTAAAGGAAATCTTCTAATTAACATGTTTCAAATAATTGTAAATTAATTAATCTTCCTTGTTTTGACTACCTAATCAGGGTCCAGCATACTGAGGCATGAATATACGTGTGTGTGTAAATGTTCTTCATTCTAGGTATAACTATGTATTTATATTACAATCCTGTAATCCTGTAGGCCTTCTGCATGAACTAAAAACCCCTAAATGCCATACCTTACCAACAATGAATTACCGTATTTTTCGCTCCATAAGAAGCACCTGACCATAAGATGCACCTAGGTTTAGAGGAGGAAAACAACAACAAAAAAAATTCAGACGGAGCCTGAGAGGATCACAGATTGGTGTCCTCTCATGTGCCAGCTCTGCCTATTGACTCCTATATTGCGAAAAAGAGATAGAAAAGACGGGCAATGAAAAAGAAAGAAGAGGCGGGGTTTAGCACTGTAAAAGGACCCGGCCACCGCAGCCCAGCTGCTGTTCACCAAAGGACCGGCATTGGTCCACTGTTGAAGACGCCTGAAGTAATACACTTCATGGTTTGTGATGCAATATTCGCTCCATAAGACGCACAGACATTTCCACCCACTTTTTTTTGGGGGGGGGAGTGCGTTTTATGGAGTGAAAAATATGGTAGTTTATATACATGAAAGCAAAAAATTGGTTGTTATGCTTCTAACAATGGAATTGTAAGGAGAAAAAGTATGATGGTTATTGTGTCTAGATTGCTCTCTTAAAATGACCAAAATCCTATATCACATTTCTTTTTTCCTCTGTTATGAATTCTCAGGCAAGGAAACATGCAATCTGATGAGATCAGATTAAAATGAAAAAAAAGAGACTTTTTAATGCTTATGCTTTAGCATTTACAGCATCACATGAAATTATACAATGCCTGAAAAGATTGCTGACCCTGTTTGAAAGTAGTGTACATTTCAGCATTTCTCAAGTTATTGCAGCTATGATAAGATAAGTGTAGTTGGATTCCTTCCAACTCTTCTAATTCCTTATCCAGTGCAAAACTTTAAAATGTTGAGTCACCATATCAGAAGCTCCACAAACATTCCAGAGTGCCCATTTCTCCCAACATCTGTGGACTGACATTCGTCCAAATATTATGCTAATTTCAGCTGTTGCACAAAAATAATATACAATCAAGCTTACTTTTCCAGCACACAGTGTTGAAAGAGTGACCTGTCTGTATCATAAAATATTAATGTTTTTGTCTTAACATTTTTATGAGCTGACTTTTAAAATCAAGTGGACACAATACCATATTCTTGAAAGCATCATAACAATTATTTCCCAACATGAAATTCACTTCAGGCAATAGTTTGAATACTTCAAATAACCTCTGCCTCCAAACATCTAAGCATATGTTTTACTCTGAAGAGCAGTGAGTTAATAAATGATATTTTCTTCCTTTTCCTTTTCTGTTGGGTGTGGAGAGATTTCTGGGTATTATATCAGATGAACTCATTCTAACCTTATTTAAGAATGTTATTCCTTTTTTTTTTACATTAAAACTTTCCACCCAAAATAATTGGCATATACTAGCTTCTCTTTGAGTATCTGTATAGTACATATACATACATATATAATACAGACATGAAAAAGTACAATCCAAAATATAGCAGTGCTAATCAAATTTTAAAAAATTGAACAATGAATAAACAGGTGACATTTGTAGAAACAAAGTATATCTATATTTTATTTTATTTATTTATCACATTTAGAAACTGCCCATCTCACTCATAGAGGGACTCTGTGTGATATTCACTTAAAAAATATTAATATAGCTCAGTCTTTTAAGTCACATAAACCATCTATTGTTCCATTCGCTTAATTTTAATGTAACACGTTATTTCAATTCAATAAAATAATAAAATAATATAGAGTATATTAGATTTTTAGTATTATACTATACTGTAGGCACCTTAGACTATTAAGTATACATAAGAGAGAATATAAGAAAAAATATATTCAATTAATATTAAATAGACTTTCAAATGTTATGGTTACAAGCATTACTAATTATTTGAGATTTAAATTTAATATATTGAATATAAAATAAAAATTTAAAAATGAAGAAAGAGCATAAACAAAATACTTGTTTTACAATAATAGTTTCACCCTTAAGGTAAATTAATTATAAAACTCTCTGTTGTGTTTTTGCATGATGTGTGTGTATGTGTGTGTGTATGTGTCCCAAAGGTGCTTTTTCAAGAGGCAACTGGACTTCTTGGTTTTTCTTTGAAGACATTTCGCTTCTCATCCAAGAAGCTTCTTCAGCTCTGACTGGATGGTGGGGAAGCTGAAGAAGCTTCTTGGATGAGAAGCGAAATGTATTCAAAGAAAAACAAAAAGTCTATAGTTGTCTTTTGAAAAAGCGTCTTTGGGACAACCATGACCTGGATAACAGAATCTCCATAGACGTGTGTGTGTGTGTTTGTGTCTCTGTGTGTATTTGTGTGTGTACGTGTGTGTACACACCTATATGTCTTGACCAACTATTAGCATCTTTCTTTTTCTCTTTTAAACTGTTCTTTTAAACTGTTATATTTCTCTCCTGAACAAATTTGTTTTTGGATTAGAAGGCTGGAAAAAATTGTTCTGTTTTCACATGCCATCTTTTTCAGTCCAGGCCTCTGAGACTGCTTCACTAATGAGACTGCACAAGCCTCATTAAAATCTAGCACTTACTTCTGAGTAGACATATGCATCTTACTCTGTGCAATCTTGTTAAAGGTAAAGAAGCATCATGATAAACCGATTAACCTTGTCACACACCATCCCCTCCCTT